TCGGTACTTGGGCCGGTATTCTTTAACATCTTCATTAATGATCTGGAGTCAGGAGTCAGATGTGAACTGGCAAAGTTTGCGGATGACACCAAATTATGGGGGAGAGCGGTCACACTGCAGGACAGGCTAGGGATGCAGTCCAACTTGGCCATGCTGTCAAGGTGGGTTGACCAAAACCGGATGGACTTCAATGTTGAGAAGTGTAAGATGCTTCACCTCAATAGAAAGAACCTTCAACAAGCTTACAAGCTCGGCAGTGCTACACTTGCTAGTACCATGACCGAAAGAGACTTGGGGGTCCTGACTGACCACAAGACGAATATGAGTCACCAATGCGAGTCACCAATGCTGTGGTTGACAAAGCAAACCAAACTCTGGCATGCGTCCACCAATGCATCTCAAGCAAAACCATGGATGTCATCTTTCTTTTTTACTCAGCTTTAGTGAGGCCACTGCTGGAGTACTGTGTCCAGTTTTGGGCCCCCCCACTTCAAGAGGGATGTGGAAAAGCTTGAGAGAGTCCAGAGGAGAGCCACTTGTATGATCCAAGACCTGAACAGCAGGTTGTATGAGGAGAGGCTGAGGGATTTGAGACTCTTCAGTCTGGAAGAGAGAAGTCTCAGGAGTGACTTGGTAGCAGCCTACAATTATATAAGAGGAGTACATCAGGACCTGGGAGAGCAGCTGTTCACCAGAGCTCCCCAATGGATAACTAGGTCTAACAGCCATAAACTCCAGGAAGGCTGATTGAGGCTAGACGTAAGAAAAAAGTTCTTTACAGTGCGAGTGTCCAGGGTCTGGAACAGGCTCCCCCCAGAGGTGGTGCAAGCACCTAGTCTGGACTCATTCAAAAACATGTCTGGATATTTCCTTGCTGGGATCACTTGATCCCAGCTGACTTCCTGTGGTGGTGGGGGGGCTGCACTCGATGATCTCATGAGGTCCCTTCCAGCCCCTAATGTCTATGAAATCTATGAAAGTATAAATCTACCTTGCCTCTGCCTGACTTCAGACTAACATGGCTAACTACCTCCTACTTCCCTTAGGGATATCAGGGATGTCATGTTATGGACTTTGTTTTTTTGTTTGCCTTTTGGATTTCTCTCAAAAAATCTGGATTTAGAACTTTCTCAGGTGTTAAGTTGATAACAAGTCTTCTACCAGAGACCTCTTTGACTAAGTGTGAAGCAGATGCTTTGATACAAATAAAGAATCTGAATACAAACACTTCCCTCGCTTTTGCTTGGTGTTTAAAAATACAGGCCTCTTCCCCTAAGGCGTTAGCAATTTGTGGGCCTGCTGCTATCTTTATTGAAGTCAACAGAGAACTTACAGTTATGAATTATAAAGGCTTGCTTTGTATTTTGGTTTCTTAGTCTGTAGGTCACATTTGGGTCATATCTCCAAGGTCTTCTTTACAATCGTGAAAAATGGAAACATCCTTTTCTTTCTTTTCCATTCATCAGTTCAGGAGTGGTGAGGGGTGTGACTACATCATGTCAGAAATCCATTCTGGCTAGGAGGGGCCTGGAGGGGCCCAAACATACCCTATATACTCATGTCTGAGGCCATGCTCCTTACCTGGAGTACGCTGGTGATGCTGCTCCAAATGTGTCCCCAGCACCTTGCTCAAGCACAGCAGAGCTCAGAAGCACAGCCCACAGCAGTCTCAACAAAGCCCATGTGTTCTAGGGTTTGGAGTATGCCTACACATACAGCTGGGCATGGCTTGCTAGGCACATCTTGGGCAGGCATGTTGCTACGGTGGTGTGGACAAACCCAAGGGTACTGAATGAAGTCATAGAATCATAGAAAATTAGGGTTGGAAGGGACTTCAGGAGTCCAACCCCTTGCTCAAAGCCAGGACCATCCCGAACTAGCTCATCCCACCTACAGTTTTGTCTAGCTGGGTCTTGAAAACCTCCAAGGATGGAGACTCCACAACCTCTCTGGGTAACCTGTTCCAGTGCTTCACTACCCTCCTAGTGAGAAAATTCTTCCTAATATCTAACCTAAACTGCCCTTGCTGCAACTTGAGACTGTTGCTCCTTGTTCTGTCCCCTGCCACCACTAAGAACAGCCAGCTCCATCTTCTTTTGAACCCCGCTTCAGGTAGCTGAAGGCTGCTATTAAGTTTCCTCTCAGTCTTCTCTTATCTATACTAGATAAGCCCAATTCCCTCAGTCTTTCCTCATAAGTCAGGTCCCCCAGCCCCCCTCACCATTTTTGTTGTCCTCTGCTAGACCCTCTGCAATTTGTCCACATCCTTTCTTTACTGGGGTACCCAAAACTGAACACAGTACTCTAGATGTGCCTTACCAGTGAATAGAGGAGAATAATCACTTTCCTTAACCTATGGGTAACATTCCTACCGATGCAGCCCAGTATGCCATTAGCCTTCTTGGCAACAAAAGCTGAATATGTGCCAGCAGTGTTCCCATTGTCCACTGTAACCCCCAGGTCCTTTTCTGCAGAGCTACTGCCCAGCCAGTCAGCCCCCAGCCTCTACCAGTGCATGGGATTGTTCTGTCCTAAGTGCAGGACTTTGCACTCGTCCTTGTTGAACTTCATGAGATTTCTTTTGGTCCAATCCTCCAATTTGAGTTCACTCTGTATCCTAGTCTTACCCTCCAGTGTATCTACTACTCCCCACAGCTTGGTGTCCTCTGCAGACTTGCTGAGGGTGCACTCTATGTCATCTTCCAGGTCGTTGATGAAAACACTGAACAAAAGCAACCCCAGGGCCAGCCCTTGGGGCACTCCACTTGATACTGGCTGCCAACTCAACATCATTCCATTGATTACTATTCTCTGAGCCTTATGCTCCAGCCAGTTTGCTATCCATCTTACGGTCCATACATACAGCCCATACCTCCTTAGCTTGCCTGTGAAAATGTTGTGGGAGACCGTTCAAAAGCCTTGCTAAAATCAAGGTACGCCACATACACTTGTCTCCCTGCATCCACAGAGCCAGTCACCTCATCATAGAAGGCAATCAGGTGGGTCAGGAATGACTTGCTCCTAGTGAATCCTTGCTGATTGTTCCTAATCATCTTTTTCTCCTCCAAGTACTTAGAAATGGATTTCTTGAGGATTTGCTCCATGATTTTTCAAAGGACTGTGGTGAGGATCCAGGGTCTGTAGTGCCCTGGATCCTCCTTTTTCCCTTTCTTAAATATGGGTGCTATGTTTGCCATTTTCCAATCATCTGGGACCTCTCCTGATTGCCTTGAGTTTTAAGAGATGGTGGCCAGTGGCTCTGCAATCTCATCAACCAACCCCTTCAGCACTTAAAGTTGGAGTCATTTATCTTTTACTCTTTAATATTCATCAGATGTAGAAGTTGACCCTTTAACTACGCATCAAATATTGTGAAAATGACAACACTGCAGATTGCTTGTGCAATTTCACCTGTTTATGCCCCAGTCACCTCTAAAAATAATAGAGGAAGCCACCAAAGTGTTTGTAAAATAATTAGTTAATTAAGTTCAGTTGCAGTGTAATCAGGCCCTAGATTGAATTCTGCATAGAGGAATGTCAAAATATGTGGGTATAATAAGGAGTGACTAAACAAATAATCTGTATTTTAAATCTTGTAAGATTATTTTAAAAGCTGGAAAACATAAAGGGGGAAAACCCCACAAAACTTGCAAGCATTTTCTGTCCTTTTCAATTTTCCTGAATTTAAAGCTAATTATATGCACACACACGCATGCACGTGCACTGTTAATTCAGTTTTCTGAACAATGAAAAAAAAGCCTTTTCGAGGCAAAAGGCTAAATTAATAGGGTGCCAAACTGGCACTGGCATAACTCCATCAGGAGTGAACCCAAATATTTTTGTGAACTTCTAATCCTAGCATTTGTCAAGACTAGTCCCCTTGGGCATCAGTGCTGCTCCTTTTATAGTTGAGTACAAAATGCTGTGGGATTTTAATGAAATGCACATTAGACTGATAGTGGTAGCATTTAGGTGGCTGAAATCTTTCTAAAAATGTCACATAGTTTTTATTGACAATATTATTGTAATGACTACTACTTTATATCTTTGGTGCTACAGTACATTGCCTCTGAGCAAATGTTATATGGAGACACAATGCTGATGTTTTTGTTCCCTTGTACCTGGCAAATAAATGTATCCATTTTTCAAGACTACAATGAATAATGTTGATGTATGTTTTATATGTACTTCAACTATTTGGTTTATAAATTTATTTAAATTGCTTTTAGCTTGAATCTCATACTATGGAAGAATTTGCCGTCATCTTTCTCTCATATTCCTTTGCTTTATCTTGTATATTTTCTGAGCTATGATGTTGCTTTATATTATGCATTTAGACTTCAGGAAATTCTATTGCGCCTTTCACTAAACTTTTTCAAATCTGGCCTTTCTTTTCCATTCCATATGCTTAAGGCACTGAGGTACAGTCACAGTCTGATCATCTTTTACTTCAGCTACTCATTTCTTCTTCTCTATAATGCCTCCAGCTTAGTCAAAATATTGTAGATAAAATCATCCAGCCATATTGCCATTCTGTTTCCACTGCTTTGCTCACTTTTCTTTTTATTCAATGTATACTTAAACTCCTTTTCCTCATTTCTATGCTCTACACAACTCAGTCCCGTACTGAATTGTGAATAAAGGTGAGCAATAGTACAACAGCACTGAATACTTGGTATGAACCAAAATACAGATTCAATCAAAATTTTGTTTTTAACCTATTTAATGCAAGATGAGTAGTGTCTCAGTTGAGTTGGATCCAAGTTGAACAAGGCACTCTGTCCTGTGCTTAGTCCATACACACTCTGAAAAACATGTAAGGTTAAACTTAAACCAGTACTTACAGGCTTTGCTGGAACAGAACCTCCGTGTATGTGATCCATCTAACTTTGTGAAATAGTTGACATAGTAATATTCTACTGGTTGATATACAGTGCCATCCTTATATTTATATGAACCAATATCTAAATGATCTTCTGGTTTACAATATTGTGCACAAGGTAAAGACCGTCTTGCTGGATGTCTGGGAATTACTGCACCTGAAGCCAGTCAGTTTATAGAGAGTTTTTTGCAAAAGTACAAGAAAGTCCATGACTTTACCAAGAAGACTATTGAACAATGCCAGCATAAAGGTAATACAAACTTTTAAAACCTTTTTGTTTACTGTTATTGTTTTAAAGTCTCAAGGATAAAGGCTCAACCCAGAAAAACCCAAGGTAGCATTTATAGGATAAAAACACTTTATGAATCTCCAAAATTAGTTTTTACCTCCATTAGTTTGGCGACTGTGAAAGAACATTTGATTTGATTTGAGTGTGTGCATGTTGTTCAGTAGAAAAGAAAATGATTAGTAACAAGACAGGGTAGAAACTCAGTGTTTTGCCAGGTGGAGGCAGAAAGGATTAAATGTCTCACCGTCACTTAAGCACTTCGCAGTAACCCAGCAGTCTCTTTAGGGGTGTCTTTTAGTCGTCCTAAAATGTCCTTAATGAATGAGGTTATTAAAATATCCTCATTAGCTGCAGTGGGCAGTGTCTTGAGTTCCTTAATCTTTTCTACTAGCTGCAGTGATACTTCTAAACATATCTGCCTTTTATTTAATATATATTCTTATACAGACAACTGAATAGAAATACGATCACTCGTTTTGGCCACTCACTCTTAAAATTTTAGATGAACAAAAATAGGTCAGGATTGGTCCACTGTTAAATGAATTTGGTGCTGCTAGAGCAGATGTAGTAGGCCTTGTCTTTACAGGTAAATGGTCACATACAGAAAACATTTTAACTCGGTCACAATGGCTTGTCAGCTGTTAATTCTCCTTACTTGTTAAGATGTGTTGTAACATTTTTGAAGTTATGTAGGCTGCCTGAGTCTTAGAGCATGTTGTCCCTAATATTTTATAATCTTTTTCTGTAACTTCCCTGAATACTTTGTATGTAGGTTGTGAGATAGTGGGCTGAGAGCTAAGAAACTCCTGGATTTCAATCCCATAAATAGCACTGCATTGCATTTTCAGCTTAGTTGTCATTTAATCCAACTTTGTGACTTATTTTTAGGCGCCCAACTTTTCAACACCATTTTCAGAAGTGTTGAATACTTACAACTTCCCTGGAATTCAAGAGAAGCAGTAAGTGCTCAGCACATCTGAAAATCAAATCCTAAAACTGAACATACAAGCATTCTCTAATGTTGTGAAAATGTGGTCTTCAATCTTTATGGCCTCTCTGCTTTCCACCTCTAACTGGAGATAGACAAAATATTTCCTTACCTGACCTGTATTGGGCAAAATCATTAATATTTTTCACTAAGTGCTGTAAGTGCTAGAAAGTACTATTATTGTTAATAATAATTTCAACCACTTTTTATGTTGTTATGTTTTACCTGGCTATAATTGTGTAAGTATAGTATATCTTTTCCCACCACAGAGGTATTTCTTCTGTTTTGGGGTTTACCCTAATGAATGGTGACTTTGGATTTATTAAGATATCTGTACCGCAGGTACAGATATTTATTTCCTAAGGGTTTACAGATATGTTCAGATATGTCTATTTTCCACAGACCAGTTCACTGTTAAAAGTTATATAAAATAATTTTATTAGAATTAAATAATGATGGAGATAGTGAGGAAACTGGTAATCATCTTGTTATTCCATACAAATTACTGAACATTGTTTTTAAACCCATCCTCTTTTTATTTTGAGGTATTTGCTGAATAAGATTTCTGTTCCCAGAATGAACCCTGCTTATGTCAAGTTGAATTTCATCAGATTGACATACAATGTACTCCAGCATAAAGCCTGAGGAATTTATTTTTCAATAAACAGACTGTATAGTTTCTGGCCCATGGAAGTTCAGGGTCGGTCACAAAGCCTGAACACAGCTCAAGAACCAAACTTCAAATATTTTTATTTGCATCAGTCAGCACTTTCGTTCTTGAAATGCATTTGGCATCTGTGGTTACAGAGCCATAGGTCAGCCAACACAGGCTCTCCTTGCATCAAGTTTTGTGCCATGTCCACATCCCTATGTCTTCAGAGGGCAGTAATTCAAAGAGAGAATTAGCTGTAGATATTTGGCATGTTTTCTTTTGTAATATATTTTCAGATGTATTAAAGAATGTGTGCAGTTCCTTAAAAAATAGCATACTGTTTAAAAGAAATAAATGATAGATTTGCAATATTTTGTTTCCCATCACAGTGCTGAAGGAGTGCAGCATCATCGCATTTGTTACTTCAGTAGCTGCAGCACTAGCAGGAAAATTACTTTTTCCAGAACAGCATTTTCAACCTGTTTTTATAATAGCATATAATTGATTCAGCCTTTTATTCATGGAAGATATGCTATTCTTTGTTTATGCTTTGTACAGCTCAGAAAAACTTCTGTCAAGGACTGTCATTACACACATAATTGGATTCATTAATTAGTGTAAGAAGTAGTAAAGTTACTGCAAACCTTTAAGTTGTATAAATAACTCCTACCCTCCCTGCTTGATGAAGTGTGCAACTCAAGCAATATAACTTGTTTTGATGCATTTAGTACAATATAGCCTCTTCTTTAAATATAATTGTTGTAAGATAACTCCACTATCACCATAATGAATCCATGCTATATCTGGATGACCAGCAAGAACCCAATAGCAAAAATTCTTGGCTGTCCACCAAGGTTAGGGACAGACATTCAAAAAGCCTGAGCCTGAATTAATTCATTCTTTACAGGTTAGTCTAACCTGCAAAGCTTGAACTGATTTGGAGGGGATAGACATTCCCTTTTCATTTCAGAAATGCAGGCACTTGCCTGCAGTGGCTCAGGCTAGAATATGGGGGGTGCTAAAGCAGCCCTCCCTCCCCTTTGACAGTGCTGTGCAGGGGGTTGGGGTGGAAGTGCATGGTCAGGCCCCAGCAGGACAGGAGTGTTGCCAGCTCCCAGTCCCCAGCTAGCACTCTGAGACAAAGGGAATGGAGGGGTGTGCAGTGCATGCATCTGTTGATGATACTGAGCTTTTCAATCTCCCGTTTCCTGTCTGCAAACCTGGCAGGGCTGCAAACCACAGTGTTTATCAGCAAAACAAATGTGTCTCTCATTAGTTCAAGCTCTTCTTAAACAGCTTTTTCCAAGGAGGGACATTACTAGCTGAGCTGTTGATTGGCTCCAGAAAGCCCTAGGCAGATACTCTTCTGTCTGCCTTTGTCCTGTCTGCCTGCCCCAGTGAAATTGGAGACTCACAGGCACCTCTCAGCATTAGCTAGCATACCACATGCATGGGGTCTGTAGGGCTGTGGGGTCCATGCTGTGGGAAATGGGATGGAGGGAGGGGGGAATCCCTGCATGAGCACCAAGGGAAGCCAAGCAGACCTTGCTGTGTGTGTAGTCTCCCCCGGAGCTCTGGCTAGGGAGGAGAGGGGCGGGGCCAGCCTGTTCTCTGCAGCAGAGAGCACAGCCTAGCCTAGCCCAGGGCTGCAAAGCATCTGGGATGCTGGGGGACTCTGGTTTAACTTAAACCAGGAAGGGGTCTGGGACAGACATTGCATAAACTGTTTTGATCCAAATCAGTTAAGTCTGATACTACATTCAACCAGGTTTATCTTAATCTGGTTTCAGCCATTTTGAAGCAGGTTTATGTGCACTAAACTTATGTTCAGTTACAGGTTTAAACCAGTTTCTGATCACTTAAGCCAGTTTGTGTGTAATGTCTGTTCCAAGTTCAAGAGAAACGTGGCTCATACCTGTCTACTTAGACTCTTATGACCCCCTACTTCCTCTAATTTTTCAACTATGTTCTAAACACTAGCAGTGAAGGAGCAGACTTTTTCAGCTGTACAGGCTCAAAAATGTTACAGCAGCAGTTCGATACCATTTAACACTTTTTTCATCCTACTCTTACCTCAGATTTTTGCTAAAAAATTAGTTCTTTTTAGTGGCTAGATACCAGCCAAAGCCCTTTTATATATGTATGCTACACAGGCAGACAGGATTGCTAGTACAACTGATGATATTTATTTCATTCCCAATGTTGCCTTGTAGGCATGATAAAATAAATGACTCATGAATATTATTTGTGCTGATGGTATTTTTACTCATAAAACTATAAGCACATTAAAAAGGCTAAATTTAGGCCTCATTCAAACACAGAATTGGAGGTTAGGATTAGGCCTCAAAAGCACCTTGCTATCAGCTGACAGCAAAAATCCCCATTGGAGATGATGCATAAGTGTTGGCAGTGGGAGGGGGCACAGCTCTGTGCCGCCACCACCACCACCCCCACTACTGCCAGGTGCTGGCTTTGACCAGGCTTCAGCCCTATACCCTATGGTCAGTGTAGAAATTGCACCACCACTTCCACTGCTGCCAGGCCCTGGCTCTGCCTGGGCTGTAGCCCTGTGCCCCACTGTTGGCATAGAAATCGGGGGGGGGGGGGCACATGTCCCATTATGCCACCTGTTGTGAATGAATGCCATAATGGCATAAAGTCATAATAAATATTTTCTCTTGAGAATTCTGCTTTCTGGCATTCCTGCTTCTCATCAGGAATAATATTTTAGCTAAGTCTGGATGGATTGTTTGACAAGGAAAGTTCCAACCCACATTTATTTCCTTTTCCTCAAAAAAACATTTTTGGTGTCATCAGTATTCAACAATTTCTGGTTAAACAAACATAACCGGATTCATATTCTCAGCATAAACTTAGGGATGGCCTAGCAGGAGGAAAGTTCTCAGCTCTGTTTGTACAGTTTCCTCACTTTCCTTGTACATCTGGGTTATTGAAAGAGAAAAGACCGACATTGTATAACTTTCATTTATGTTTGAAGATGACAGCATCTTTTATAAAGTATCAGGAGCTCCAATAGGGTATTATGTAGTACATTGTATTATGCTTAACCCTTTGCAAATAATTTATATTTTCAGTTTGCTGGCTGAACAAAAAAAATCAGTTTTGGGTTTACTGGGAATGAAAACTTTCTCCTTTGTCACAAAAAAAATAAAAATTAAAAAAAAAAAAAGAGAGAGAAAGAAAAGAAAAAAGTTGGTGTGTCCATATGTCCATTCAGGCTGACCAGAATGTTTTATCCAGCCCAAAACAAGCCTAGCTTCCTTTTATTTTGGGTGGATTATTTTACTTTTTAACATGTTTTTAATATTACATTTAGGGAAGCTGATAGTTGAACTAGGAATCAAAGCATTCCATTTGGAAAACATGAAAAAGAAACTTTTTAGTTATTTGAAAATATTTTTTTTTCACCCAGAATAATTTGCTGTCTTCAGGCCAAATGCATGAATAATTTTAGCTGAGCCAAAATGTCATCTTTATTGTATAATAGATCTACCTCAAAGTTTCTAAACTCTAATTGTGGCCACATTAGCTAGCCAGAACTAAGAGGTTTTATGGGCTTTTTCCAGTAGAAAAGGTTTTCTGGTATAAATATACCAACAAACCATCCTAGTGTAGAGACATATTTAGCATTCTTTTGGCTAGCATAATTTATACCAGTTATCCAAATGAAATAATCAAAATTAATAGAAAATAATTTTTTTTCTCTGCTGGCAAAACTGCATCTATATTGGGTTTTTTGCAGCAGCGATGGCAGTTAGAGGACATGATTTTTTTTCACAATTCAGACTGATAAAGTTATGTTATGTCAACAAAACTTCGACTTGCATACCACGACTCAGTGACTTCAACCCCTATTAGTAGGGACCTATTCAAATTGCAACTTTGTGCAAATCATGACATTGGGTGATGTCCACAACATCCATGGGGTAAAAAAAAAAATATTTTTTTACAAATAAAATGCTGGCTCCCCAGTGGGAGCCAGCAGTCCTTCACAGCTTGCTGTAGGCAAAGGGAGGCTGCCGGCACGTAGGAGAACAGGCAAGATGGCTTCTGCCCCTCACCACTAATTGGTTGAGAGGCTGCCTGTTGTGCCCCCCCCCCCCCAATCAGTGATGGAGGGTGGGGCAACATGACAGATAGCCCTCAGTCAATCCGCGGTGAGGGGTTCCTCAGCCAGAGGCATGGGTGGGGGGGGGCCAACCACAATAAGCCTGTGAAAGTGATGGCTGGCCCCGCATTCTGCCCATGTAATTGGCCTCCTGCCTCCTTGATTTGCATAGACTCCTACCTGTTGGTTTCGTCTGGGATCAAAGGTGCAAAGTCAGAACAATGGAAATATCAATTGCATCTGACTGAATCCACATTTCGCCTTATCAGTCTGACCGCTTAAATAGCAGGACCACCAGTGTGTGCTAAGGGACTCTGACTGTTTTCTGTATTTAGTTATATTCTACTGATTAAAAGTGTAAGATAGTAGCTGACAAATATATGTATTATCTTCTAAATGGAAGTTTTATTACAAACCTCATCTTTAACCACTGCTGTTTTTATATTTTATATATCAAAAGGCTATGTGGTTTCCATCATGGGACGTAAAAGACCCTTGCCAAATATTAGTGCACAGGACTACAGGCTACGGACTCAAGCAGAGAGGCAAGCTGTCAACTTTGTTGTCCAAGGTAAAAAAAGAAAAAAAAAAGTTGAATTTTATGTAACTGGAGGTTGACAGAAGAAATTTGATAAGCAAAAATAAATAGGTTTCATTTCATATTTTTAAATGATGAAGAACAAACAGTACTTGTCTACTAGGGCTGTGTGAAATTTTGCTGTCTGTTTCATTTTGATGCTGTTCTGTCTCATTTTGAGCTCAAAACAGTGAAATCGAAACGAAACAAAGGGATTTGAAACAGCCTCAAAACACAACGAGGGCAGTTGAAACATTTTGAGCTTCAAAGCTGAAGCTGGGTTTGATGGCAGGGAAAAAGAAAGTAAGGGGAGGGAGGAGGAAGCACTGCTCTCATATTGACTGTGTAGCTGGCCAGTGACTGATCCTTCACTTAGCTAGGTGATCCTTCACTGAGGTCCCTTCTAATCCCAGTGCTCTGGGAGAGGAATGGAAAAACAGCATTAAAGGCAGCATTGTCTGACCTGGCCTGCTTTCTGCCTTGGGGTCAGTTACTGAACTATCTTCCAGAAGCTCAGGAGTGTTAGACAACAAAGGCTACTACTACCTTTTATTTGATTTTCTACTTACGAGCCTAGCAAGTGGGATTCTGCAATACCCTTTGCTTTCTTTCTAGACCCTTTTTATTGTGTTGTTATAGTCATTGATTTATTCTTTTCAATTTCATAATTATTTGGGATATTATAATATAGAATCTATGTAGGAAGACACATATACATTTTATATATTTTTAAACATTTATATCTTGCATATAATAATTTAGAATTTATATAGGAAGGCACATATGCATTTATATACTTTTATAACGGCAAGACACTATAAAACACCATGAAGTGTGCTGGAAAGGCAGCTGGCAAGACTTCAGGGAGGGGCAGAAGAGGGGGTAGAGGGAGAGGTGTAAGTTCCCACCCCTCCCAAACTGAGACGCAGCCTCTTTCCCACAACTAGCACGGGTGAGGCTTCCAGCAAGGAGAGGGGAGCAGACGAGTACCACTGCCTGTGCCTGGGACTGCATCCCCTCCAAGAGCACCACTTATAACCCCCACCACCACCATGACAACAAGCAGCAGCACCAGCATGACAATCTCCTTCACCCCCATTTCACTTCCCATGCTGAGCCTTCCAGTGCCAGAGGAAGAGCTGCAGCTGGATCTGGATCTGAGTGCCATAGCAAGGGAACTTCTGGGGAAGGAGGGGGAATCGTCTGAGTTTGTGCTCCACACCCCTCAAGTTTCCCATACAGCCAGGGCCCCTGCCCTAGAAGGCACTTCAGAGAAGGCTGAGGTACAGGTTGCAGAGACAAGCGGCTCAGCAGAGTCCACTTCTTTTGTTGCTGTGGCTCTGCGTGCTGAGGAGGGGGAAATTGCAGCATCCACACATGCATCTGCACCCCGTAAGCAAGCAGGTAGCGTGGTCTGGGATCATTTTGAGCTGGCAGATGATCTCACATACGCTATCTGCCTGCACTGCTGAACCAAAACCAGCTGGGGCAAGGGAACAAAACACATGAGCACCATGGGAATGGGGATGCATCTCTGCAGGCACCACCCCCTTGCCGTTGCCCCTTCTTAGCCTGGCACCAGTGGGAGTGTGCCCAAAGGGAAGTCCCCCTCTTGCTCCAAAGCCCCCATCCCCCCAAAGCAGGGGCAGGCCACCCTGGAGCAGTGGGGGAAAGCTGCAGACTAAAGGGGGTGCATTGCAAGAGTGAGCGAGATCACCCAGAGCATTGGGAGATGCTTGCTGTCGATGGCTAGCCCTTCTTAGTTGAGTGGCCAGGGTTCAGGTGGCTTACGGTGCTCATGGCCCCATCCTAACAAGTGCCTGCACACACTGCCTTCAGCAGGATGGTGGTGCCCCCCCTGTATGAGGCATGCAGGGAGTACTTGAGGGAGGAGCTGTGCAAGGCATGTCCGCAGGTAGCCTTACACTTTGCCTCAGACATCTGGAACAGCCAGGGTGGAGACCATGCCTACCTCTACTTCACAGGGCACTGGTGTGACCAGTCAGGCTGTCGGTGGGCTCTCTTTCAAGCCGAGGTGATGGATGAGTCCCACATGGCAACAGAGATCATGGGGGCCATGAACCACGTGGTGCAGTGGCGACTCATTGGGCAGGGTGAGCTCACCCATGGGTGCATGGTCACCGACAGTGGGGCCAACATGGTCAAGGTGGTCTGTGTTGGCATCTGCTGTGTGGCACACAAGTTCCACCTTGTAGTCAGGGATGCCTTGGAGGGAGACAGGGCTGCTGGTGATGGTGCCAGCACCACCAGTGAGCTCATTTCAAAATGCAGAAAGGTGGCAGGTTGCTTCCACTGGAGCATCAAGTGAGGCAAGATGCTGCAGGACAAACAGGCAGAGCTGAATATCCCACAGCACAAAATCATACAGGATGTGGAGACTTGATGGAGCTCCACATACCTGATGCTTGAGAGGCTGGTGGGGCAACAGAGGACCATTCATGATATGGCCTTGTTCGGGGACATTGGGATCAGCATCCCCCTTAACAGAGCTGAGTGGGATACCATCTCCCAGATCTTGTTGGTCCTCAGGCTCTTCCTTGAGGTCACCAGGACCCTCAGCGCTAGCGATACCCTCCTTAGCCAGGTGGTCCCTGTAGTGAGGGAACTTCAGAGCCAAATGGAGAACTTCCAGGGGATCAATGTTCCTGGCTGGGGCAAGCTGCTGTTACCAGGCGTGCAGGCACTAGTGAGGCAGCTGAAGGATGGCATCAGGAAATGGCTTGATCCCTTGAGGTCCGCTATGGTCCACGTGCTGGCCTCCATGTGTGACCCAAGGGTGAAGGGCAGCATATGCAGCAGCCAGAGCCTGAATCAGTGGACAGAGGTGCTGGTGAAGAGAGTCAGGGAGGCAGAACAGTGGAGGTGGGCGGACATGGAAGAGGGGGATCTACTGTCCCATGCTAGCACGCCGTGCACCAGCCAGTTTCCTCCTCCACCACAAGCACTGCCATTGTAGGCCAAGGGCATGGCTTCCATGGTGGGGTTCAGAGGCACCAGACCCCACCATCAGGCAGGTAGCACTCAGGCCTTGGTGGCTGCCTACCTCACCCAGGGTGTGGAGCCTCTGCTGTGCGACCCCTTGGCTTACTGGGCAAGCCAGATCCAGATATGGCTGGATCTGGCCACAGTTTCCTGGGAACACCTGTCCTGTCCACCGACCAGTGTTCCAAGGGAGAGGGTGTTCAGCATTGTTGAGGACGTAGTGACACCGCATTGCACCTGCTAGGATCCTGGTTTGGTGGAGCAGCTGGTGTTTCTGAAGGTGAACCTCCTGCTGCTGGGGTTCCCCAAACTCCAGGTGCAAACTAAGTGAATGCCACCCTCCTCACTCCATCCACACCTATTTCCTTTTTTAAAAAACATTTAATACACTGCTCTCAGAGCTAGAGGGGGCACTCAATGCATCACCAACCAGCAAGAGAAGAACATGTCCCTGCTGAGCTTCCATGCCAGGATGAACTTGGAGGTATGGGCTGGGGCTGTGGCATGGGAGACTGGTACCTCTTGAGTCAGTGACTGGGGGGGAGGTGGTGTCCCCCGGCAATCAATCACATTGACTGTGGGGGGTCCCCCTGCAGCCAATCTCACTCACCAAAAAGCGGCCACACTGCTTCCAGAAGTCCTGCGGCCACTTCTGGAAGCAGCGTGGCCGCTTTTGCTGGTGGCCCCGCTCCCTGGCCAGCATTCACGGGGGGGGCACTGGCACTCCTGTCTGTTGCCTATACAGGGAGTGCGGCCTGACAGGGGGTGCACCAGCGCTTTCAGGGGTACATGAGCATCCCTGTGCACCCCCTGTGCGTCGCTACTGGGCTATGGGGAAGGAGGAGACCCCAGGTCCTGGGCATGACCACTAAAACTGCGCTCTGCCAGGGTTGGGGAGGCCTGGTGGGACTGCTGGCACCAGGAAATGCCAGGACCAAGGATCCCCCTGGTGAAAGGTGAGTAGAAGGCACCATAACCTCCAGCTACCACACGCATGCACGCAGTCCTGACTGGGGAAAGCCCAGCCTATCACATCTTTGCCAGGTCTGAGACTTTCCACTTTTACCTGTGCTGCTACAACTGCCCCAGCCTGTCACTCACCTCCTGATGCCTCCATTTCTATTTTCACTGACTGGCTTAAGTGGTATCTTGCCCTCAACCAGACTTAAATGGCGTGAGATGGCTAAATATACTCTTAGCTTCTTTGAACATGTCTTGCTCACCCCTGATATTCTCTCACTTGCTCCTTTCCTTTTCTTCTTCTTCTCTTACCCAAATTTTGGTCAAGCAAATGAAAGCAAATTCTATACCGTATTGCCATTAAGCAGTTGAGTGTTTCCTGTAGTTTACAGGTAGCAAATTTAATGAGCGGCAGTTGTTTCAGTGCTTCAGATGTATTCCTGTCCTGGTCTGGCCCCTTTTTTTCAACTCTCTGCTTCTCAAAGAAACTGTCTATTTCTTTGGTAGCTTGTGACCCAGAAAACAGTGCTTCTGTGCCTTTGTTACTAAACTGACCTGACTTTGGTTTAATTGATTTCTCTTATTTGAAAATCACAATTCCAGGTCTCTAAATAGTTAGGTATCATTTATTCCTTTCTGTTGAAATAGCACTCATTCTTTTGTATGGAATGTTTGAGGAGAAATTTGCAAAGTCTAAGGGTAGAGAAGATGTTATTTTCATGATACAGTTTTGCAGCCTTGCCAAACAAGATTGAAATTGAAATTAAAAATCAACATGAGGTGCACTGATATCCATCAGTCTAAGTTCACATATTTTCTTTGAGGTAACTTGGGGCTAGATTTAATAAGGGATGTAAGTGCTGAATGGAGGACTTAAACTGACTTGAGATGCCCAAATCTAAATTGTGATCCTACCCCCCACCCCTCCCCCAGTCAGTTGCTGTCTAAGCCTGGAGCTGCCTAAACTCACTAAGCACTTCACTATTTGACTTAAAAGTTCTCTACGTTCCTAAAGTTGTGCTGCTGAGCAT